AGGGCAGCTGTCCTTGCTGGGGTGGGGGGTCAGGAGTGGTCCCCCCAGCCCCATGCTGGCATTCTCCCATAGACCCAGGACTCACCTGCCTTCCCTCTGCAGCCCTAGCCCCAGGGGCGGACCCCTCAGATCCAACCAACTTGGGCCTCCCATCCACTCCCAGGCACTGTCCCCTGACCTAGGACCCCCCGTAACAGTCCCAGCAAGGCCACTCCTCCAAGAAACAGGCCTCTGGGGTGTGTCCACAGTCAGTGGTTCCCAAGGGCCCACGTGCGCCCTCCCACCCACCCCACCCACCCCTGACACCATCAGTGAACCCCAGAGGAGCAGAGGTGGGGTCCGTTGCATCCGACTCCATCTCTTGGGAGAAGCCAGCAGGTCACCTGAGAACACCACGTGAGGGCGGATGAGGGAAGCGTCCATCACGTGCAGGCCTCCGCACTGAGGGCAGAGGTGCTGGGGGCGCCTGTGAGCTGGCCGCCCGCTCAACGCCCTTCACACCGAGCGGCTGCACAGGCGGGTATCCTCCTGGGGCCGCTCCCCACAGGGGCTCAGGGCTGGGCCTGGGGCAGGCTCCTGAGACAAGGGGAGCTCCCAGAAGTGAGACTGACTGCATGCCAAGGAGCCAGACCCCTGACGGCCCCTTGGCCACCCTCAGACCATGAAATCTTCTGCCCACGTGGAGCCCAAATCTGCCAGCCTCTGGGCCCTCATCACAGTCATGCCTGCAGAAACCGACCTTACAGTCTTGCGAGGAAGTAGGACATGGGGCTGCCTGGTCCTTCCTTCAGGGCCTCTCCTCCTTGCCTCCCACCCTGAGCCTACATCTCGTCCTATGCCAGCCCGCAGCAGGGTTCCTGACCTACACCCACTATCAGTTGTCACTGAGTCCGTTGTAACTAAATCATGGTGACCTCAGGGGTCTCAGAGTAGAACTGTGCTCCACAGCATTGAGAGGCTGACTTTTTGGACGTGGATTTTCCGACTTCCCTCTGGGCAAACTTGAACCCCCAACCTTTCAGTTAGCAGCCAAGGCCAAGAGCCGTTTACATCATCCAAACTCCTCGTCCTGGGCGGCCACGCTTCTTGTGCTAACACAGGGGAGGCAGCAGCCATGGCTCCCAGCGGAATCCGCAGCCGGGGCCACTCCCCTCCCCTGCCTTTGGTATTTGATTATTAAAGTGCTGGGTGGAACCCGGCTGCAGGGCGGGAGCCTGAGGGCCTCCAGGCCGCCCTGGACATCGGCACCTTCTCAAGCCTCCCTCCCCTGGGTGTGAGGTGAGCCCAGGGAGCTGAGGTCCCCCGAAAGTTTGGATCCTGAGACTGCCAGGAGCAAAGGGCCTGGCTTTTGTCCCCGTCAACTGCACGACAGAACGACAGGCTTAGATCCCAGCTGTGGGCATCGTTATTCCTATCGAGGGAAGCTGGACAAAGATGGCTGCGTCCCTGCCCCCAGCTGCTCTGTTCATTACACAGCCTAACTGCCCACCACCGCGTGATGTGCAGGGTGGGGGTGAGGAGGTGGAGGGGCAGGGGTGGGGCCACAGGCAGGGCAGGGCTCCAAGCTTTGCCATACTTCCTGTCGCTCCTCATCACAATAAAGGACACCATTGGAGAGGTACACTCTTTCCGACCCTTTCCCTGGGTGGCACAAAGGGTTAAGTGCTTGGCTGCTGACCGAAAGGTTGGCGGCTCGAACCCACCCAGGGGAGCTTGGACAAAAATGGCCTGGCAACCTGCTTCCAGTAATGCAAGGGACCCACTGGCCCAGGCTCGAGAGTCAGGGCCACTGCACAGACACACAAGCCAGCATCCTGGGACCCCCGGCAACCTCGAGGTGCGGACGCAAAGCACCGGGGGCATCGTGCTGGGTGAAGGCAAGGGTGAGTGAAAAAGAGGAAGAGAGTCGACAAGATGGACTGACACGGTGGCTGCCAATGATGGGCCCAAGCGCAGCAGTGACTTCAAGGATGGCACAGGACCGGGCAGTGTTTCCTTCCCGGTCAGCACCTAACGACAAAACACCACCACCCTGGGGCAGTGTCCGGCCCATCCCAGGTGGCCTGGACAGTGAAGGAGTGGTCAACCCCAAACCCTGGTGGTCAGGGTGACGACTGCCATTCTGAGGACCTACTGTGTGCTGGGAGTCCCCGGACGGTGCAGTGACCGTGCTGGCTGCTAAGTGAAAGGCTGGCGGTTCACGTCCACCCGGAGTGCCTCAAAGAGGCCTGGCAATCTCCCTTGGATCAATCAGTCAGCCACTAGAGCCCCAATGCCGGCACACAAGGGCCACGAGGCCGAGCTGACAGCGGGCGGTGCCTGGTAGACGGGACCTGGGCGCCGGCGAGAGCCCATTTCCTGTCCACAGCAGTGCCGCCCGGCGCACACGCTATGTACCACCCAGCGCACACACTATGTACCACCTGGCGCACACGCTATATACCACTCGGCGCACACGCTATGTACCAGCTCTGAGCTAAGGGGTGCTTGCCCACAGTCAGTCACACCAGGCTCCCGTGGACAGCACCGGCCGGAGCCTCAGGTCACCACCCGAAGGCTCCCAACACAGAAACTTGGGCCTTTGATGCTTGTTTGGGGTCTCGGGCTGACACAGGGAGGCCCATCACAGCCCAAGGACAGACAACAACCTCGTTGGTTTCCAGTCTGTGAAGGGCAAGTGAGGGGCTGGCTCAGTTTCTGGCCATGGGTGTCTGAAACAAAGTGGGGAGTGGGAAAGGGGGTGTGTCCAAAACCCAGCACCCCAAAACAGCCTGAGAGTGGATGCCACTTGCTGCCCTCACCTTTCACGCTCACAGCAGGGGACGGAGGCCTCTGGTGTGGTCCAGCTCTCCTGGGTCCCTTGCCAGCCGTGGTTTTGGGATAATCTGGTTTTATGTTTTATGCCAGAGTGTTTAAGGCCATGACCTTTTCCCATATGCACAGCTTGGTCCGAACCCGGTGACATCAGCCAGGACGGTTCCTCCTTTCCCAGGAACCACGGGCTCGTCTAGAAGGTGGCACAGAGATGGGGCCCACAGCAATGCACCCTCTCGATCAACAGGGAGAAGACCGGGCCCCTAAACGTGCTGATGAAAAAGCCAGGAAGCTACATACTGCCAAGCGGACAAAGACGGCCCGAAATACAGACATACTGTGTGACTCCAACAAGATGGCACTCTGGGGAAGGCACAACTGCAGGGACAGAGAACAAGTCCGTCGGGCTCAGGGGACGGA